TCCACGTTCCAGTCTAGCCCAAAGGGCAGGACGAGGACAGGCTTTGGATGTCCCCTCAACTCAGTTTGCAATGTGGTCCCCAACATTATCTATCCTTTGTTTTTGTATGTAACACATTGCACAGTATGATATGTTCCACTCTTATGGGTCACTGGCTTGGTTTTCCTATAACCCATAAACAACATACAGCAGAGCGTTTATAGAAACAATATTGGTTTCTCACCATTGTGTGAAGGTCCATGTGGCTTCTCCTATTCGTTTGCTCTGAACTGAGGTGATCAGCTAAACCTGAGATGCTGCAGAACAGTGGTCGGATCTGTGAATGTCAGTTTGATTTGAAAAGCACCTGCCTTGTTGTTCTGAGCATGCATGAAATATAATCAGTAGCATTTCAAGTTGTAACCAATCCACGACTTCTCAATTTGCTCATCTGTAGAATGGCAGGATGATTCATTTCAATTCAGTTCAATTCCCTTCAAAACTGAGGGCTGTTCATGGAAGGAAAGGCCATCTGATTGTGGCCAGGGATACAGAAATGGCACTTTGGGTTACGCTGACTTAGGTCTCTTGAAGACTACCAGTGAGTGACATATTGGAGAAACCTTGTCTGGTCTCTCTTTATATAATTTGCCTTACATATCAATACTGGCTTTATTATTCTTTAGCTCAACTGAAAGAAAAAGAAGCTTGTGTACCCATCTGTAATTTACACCTGCAGACATAGGCTGTGTCTCAAAACCTCACTTAATGTGCTCTGCATCTCCTGTGTGCTCATCCTTACCACCAGTGTACAGATAAACCCTGGTCCTGCTGAACACTTGGCACCCTTGAATGGGAAGTGAAGGGAAGAGATGGCAATACACATCCTGAGGTGAGGGAGAAGGATGCGTGGATCTTGCTGCCCAACAGCCTGGCATCATGGCCCCTTGTTGCCATGGTGATGGAGATGCAAGTGTATGCGTAACCCTATGTTTTAAAATAGCAGCTGGTCGGTGCCACTGTGGCCCCCAGATTGCTGCCCTTCTGAGTCCCTGCTTGGCCCCAGCTGTCCTGATCTCTGTTGACAAATGGTTGTCCTTCACAGGCAGACCACTAACAGTACTCTAATTAATGAACGTGCTAATTATCCTTCCCTATTCCCAGCACATTTGTCTAACTAACCTGTCACACACAGATAAGTGCGGAGAGGAGCAGGGGCTGGGCAGGGGGTGGGGCTCACAGCTTTGGAGCTGTGGGATTTATCTTGTTAAATTATCTTTACCAGTGGCTAGGTGTCTAGGCAGACACATTATTTCTGCAATGTGGGTGTGTTTTTTGTTTTTTTCTTTTCAGAAAATCTCTCTTTGGGAATAGGCCACTGTGCAGTTTGCTAGCCTATGAGAGGATTGTTAAGCACAGATGCAGAAGGACCAGCGAGTCCCCCAGTTCTGGAAATGGTTCCAGAACAGTGTAGGGTGCTTATAATGATTAACCAAGCAGGTGGATAGGCCAGCGTTTGCATCCCAGCTGTGCACCTTGCTTTGTGTGTGTCCTTGGGCAGATTCCAGGCATTGGTGGGGGCAGGGGAGATCCTTTTTCCCCTGTTGTGTTGCAGGGCAACTATGGTGCTCTTGGCACAGTGCCCAGCACATACCAGCTCCTTGGACACAGTTGCCTGTCCCTCCAGTTGTGGGGTTGCTCTGGGCTTTCCTGGCTGGACCCAGGGCTGTGGGTGCTGTGGGAGGCAGCGGGTGGCCTCGTGCCCACCTCTACCGAGGTGCCCTTGCCTCTTTGCTCTGTCTTGACAGCTCTCTATTGAGATGGATGGCATTTCCGGAGGCTTTGCCTCTGATAAGTGCTCCTCCGTAGCTGCAGCCAGACTCTTAATGGGCGCACTGTAATTTAATGGCCATCTCAGCTATTAATGCATATTTCTCAAGTGAAGTGGACTCGCGCCACCAGCATGAGCTCTCCATGCTGAAGGGGACTCAGCAAGCGGAGAGTGGGACATCCTGGAACCTGCTTCTGGGTTCCTTTCCAGCCTTCAAAAGTACAAATGACTGGGTATGTTCTCCTTGGTTTGTGGGGAGCTCTAGAAGGCTTGTGACACTGACAAGAGCAGCCGCCTTCCTGGACACCTACCTGCTGTGGGGCTGGGAAGGTTCCCTGTGGTGCTGGTTGCTTCATGACCTTTTCTTGGGGATGCTGCTTCCTGTGTGCTGGCGCAGCAGATACACACGTCCATGCCATGAAACTGGACAGGGGAGCAGGAAAGACATGGTGGTGGGCTTCAAGAGACACCAGTGTGGGATGGAGAAGCTACTTTAAGAAGTAGTAATTTGCAAGGTAGGGATGGTGGCGCACACCTGTAATCCAAACATGTGGAAAGCTGAAGCAGGAGGAACTCCTGAGTTTGAAGCCAGCCTGGACTATACAGTGAATTCAAGGCCAGCTTGAACTACATAGTAGACCCTAAAACAAAACAAAAGCAAAAAGAAAACAAAGCAACCAAAGCCAAAACAAAAACCAACAAGTAAAGTAAGTTTTAAAAACTGGAAATTTGAATTTTGATTGTAAGTAGTGGAAGTCACAGCACCGTAGTACATGTATCTGGTATATCTCTTCTTACTATGGTGACTGTGGGAACTATCTGTCTCTTTTGTTTTACGCTATCTGATTGACCTTGGAAATGGATGCTTGGCCAACTTGGACCAGTGAGGTTGACCTTAGAGTTTAGATGAGAGAAATCTTTGACAGATGGCAAAGGATGTAAAGTATAAAACTCTTGAGTTGTATGCAGACATATCTTCCACTGTGTGGAGAAAAATATTCAGCAGAGAGAACAGATATGAAGTACTAAGAAAAGCTGGAGTGGGGGAGGGAAGAGGGCAGGAGGAGAGGGGGAAGAGGAGGGAGAAGAGGAGGAGGAGTCTATTTGGGATTGCTATATTGGAGAGAGAGCTACAAGGTCCAGGTATCTCTGTTCTTTTCAACATTCTGTTGCTCAGTTATTTGATTCTTTAAGCTTGTAACTTTCCCTTTTTACCCAAGGTAGCTTGAGCTAAGTTTCTATCACTTACAACAATACTATTTTTTAAAAAAAAAGGAGCTGGCTTTCACTTCTTATGCATCGCTAACACATGGTGAATATTATTAAAAGGGTTAACTAGGGCTGGGGATTTAGCTCAGCGGCCCAAGCACCTGCCTGGCAAGTGTGAGGTCATGAGTGCCATCCCTGAAACCAAAAGAAATGAAAGAAAGGATGAATGAATGAATGGTTAACTCTTTATAGGGTTAAAACTTCTTGGCTTCTTAAACTAAACCACCTAAAACTTACCAAACTGCACAGACAAATGAGATCTCCCTGAAGTACATACATGAATCTTGCTAGTGTTGAATAGTTAGCCTTGTAATAACCCTGTAATGGTTTATTTTATGTAACTTAACGAGGCTATGGGGTGCCCAGGTGCTGGTAAGAGGAGTCTTCTGGAGGAGTCTGTGAGGGTGTTTCTAGAAGAGATTAACATTTGGCATCATTGACATCTGCCCAATAAATAGAGATCTGCCCTCACCAATGGGGGTGGACATTGTTTAATTCATCAAGGGCCTAAATAGAACAAAAGGTGAGAGAAGAGTGGATTCCCTCTTTTCCTTGGGCTGGGACACCCATCTGCTCCTGCTAGGGACATCAGAGCTCCAGGTGCAGTCCAGCTTATGGACTCTAAGCTGGTCGTACAATTGGCCTCCGCAGTTATCAAACCTCTGGACTGAGACTGATGTACTCTGTGGGGTTTCCCGGTCCTCCAGCCAGCATATAGCAGATCACAGGACCACTTGGCCTCCAGTTCTTATAATAAATCTGTCTTCAGGAGAACCCTGACTAATATACATTCTATACTCTGTGTACAAATTGAGTACTTTTTGAAGAGTGCAGGATGTACTCAAGGGTGTCATGAGCCTCCTGACTGTCCCTGACTGGCTTCTGCACAACCGAGCTCTGGACGCTGCCTCTGCCAACATCTTTCTCTTGAAGCTGAACCAAGGACGCTGCCGACACAGGCGTGGAGCATGGTCTCTTCCCACAATGTGGCCTGGCTTACGATGCCTGCTGTCACCAATGATAGTGGCTGCTCTTCTCTTTCAAAGTGAGGTTTTGATGAAAACACTTCTTAACCACTGACAAATAGTTGAATCTTGGATAAGTATTGCAGGGATCTTGCTTTCTCTAGTAAACTCCAGGGGCTTGATGTTCACACAGAGGCAGCTGTCCTGTGCAATGCCAGGACAGTGCCTCCCCCAACCCAGCCCTCCCTGCAGGTCTGGTCTTACCCTTGCTGTGACAGTAGAGACTCACTGCTCTTTAGATTGGCAAGAGTTTCAGGGAAGGTATTTTTAGAATTGCTTCAGAAAAGCTAGTGGCAGTGTTTAATCAGCTTTGGAAGTTTTCCTTAGAGATCATCTGAAACTCCATCTCTTACAAATTCGTTGTTTTAGTTTTAATCTTTGGCTGAATTCTTTAGTTCTTTTCACTAATTTTATTCTGCAGGAATGGAGACACGAGCTATATCACACACGTCACCCTTCCTCCCTCCCTTCCTTCTAGTTTATGTGGTTGCTACTGTGATTCCTCCTATGTGTTATGTGACATTTTCCTCCTAAGAGTTCAAGGATCGAAGAACAGTGCTCAGGACACAGGCCTTTTTGGTACTGCAACATAAAAAGTACCATTTGCCTTTTTCTTTGTTGATGATAGAGCTGACAGTGGCTTCCAGATTCTCTGGCTCCTACGGGGCGCTCGTGCTGCTCAGGGTTTGTTTCAAAATTTGCTCCAGGCACTCAGGGAAGCCTTGCATGCAGAGCAAGGCATGTGAGTGTGCGGGTGTGTGTGCTTCTCCCCACTCCCTGCTTCCCCTGGCACTTGGCAGACACTTCAGTGGCAAATCAAAAATAGAAAGAATGGAAGAAGGAGGAGGAGGAAGAGGAAGAGGAGGAGGAAGGAGAAGGCAGCCCTGTGTAACCCCTGGAAATTCTAATGATGCAAGGCAGTGCAGGCCTGCACTTCCTCTTCCTGCTCAGCACAGGCAGCAGGGCTGGGCCACCCAGTCTCCTGGGGAGAGCTCAAAGCAAGCATGGATCAAGAAGCCGTGGGCAACATCGTCCTGCTGGCCATCGTCACCCTCATCAGTGTGGTCCAGAACGGTAAGGGAAGGGATTGTCTGCAATTGTGAGGCAAGTGTGTTGTGTGTGTGTGCATGCTAGCAATGTTGCTTTGTAGTTTTGTGGCAATGTGGCATTTTCTTCTGGCTGATCTTTTTCTCCCTTTAGTGGTGATGGCTAGTCAGGTTTGTGGAGAAAAGGCAGAGTCTAAAGTGCTTGGGGGAAAAAAGCCCTCACAGAATGGTCTTCCATCAGCAATTAGCATTAATTAATGTGTCCAGGGAAAGGGTAGGAGGTAAAGAGCCTCGGAAGGGAACATGAGACACACACATTCACTCAGACACCAGGCTTAACGAACCTTCCTGAATGCAGCTGAGGTGACTTGTCATCTATAGACGGGATAATAAGGGAAAAAATGAACTTAGCAGGTAGAAAGGGGAAATAAATATATCATTACTTTACTTCGGTGTTTTTTTCTTTTGAAGAAAAAATTCTTTTTTCTATAGCAAAGCATAAGTTTTTGAGGTATTTTTCATATTCATTATATACACAGAGAGAGAGAGAGTTTGCAATTTGCCTCTCCATTAACCTTGCTATCAGTGCAAAAGCAGACAGGAGGTCCAGGGCTGAAGGAGGAAGGGCTCTGTGGAACCATCTGGGGAGGGCTCAGAATATTTTCTAAGACTCTCCAAGGGCTGTGTGCTTTATAGTTTAGTGAGATAGAGAAGGTGATTGCTAAGGGCAGCTGCCATGCTTCACAGTTCCTGAACATTTACACACTGTCACACTTTGGAACTTGCAATGCTGAAACGTTCGTGTATCCCCATATCTGCCCCCATCTGAGTGTGCCAGACACTGGTGATTTTTACCTGTTGGATGCAGAGCCAGGCTTCCCCTCAGCCTCCTGTAGAGAGAATGCAACTTTGCACACTCTGTGTGTATTTCCTCCATGGAGCAGCGCTGTGCAGTTTTAAATCACACATTGTCAAGCTGCAGCTCAGAAAGGGAACCAGTGGCTTGTTAAGCCACTGCTTCCTCAGCTTGCTATTTCACACAGGGCTTCCTTGGCCCCTTGAATTGATAAGGGCTTCGGTAAGTATTCAACCTGCCTCTGGGCTCTGCAAGGACTGCTGGCCACCTAGGGATACAGCCCTGAGCCAGACAGCTTCAGGAAAGGACGACAGCAAGGGTGACGCCCCTGTTGCATGGGTGGGTGGGCAGCGCCCATTTGGTACTGGGTATGCTCAGCTCCAGACTTCACCCTCTGCCTGTCAGTCTGATAGAGGGGCATCCCTCCCCCCATACCCTCTCACCAGCCATGCAGGGGCTGGGCTCAGCTGGAAATTCAAGTTTACTCTCAGCTGCTCCCTTTCGGTTCAGAGACAAGCCAGGGAAGCTGCCTGGCTCCTTACATGAACAGAGTCTCTTCACCACTGAGAGGACCAGGGACCTGCTCCTGCTCCAGCTTAAGGTTATTGGCGTCTCCACAGCAGTGGAGCGAACCTTGAACAGGGAAGGCAATGATGAGAGTCCAAGTTGTTTTTGGCAGGTGGGATGAAATCTTCTATCGTACGAATGGGAGAGGAGGTGGAATTATAGATGGAAAAATGTCAGTGCCTTCGCAACCACACTGAATACTTGACCCCTCACAAGAGGGCAAGAAGGGAGCACAATCCCATGAACAGCGGTCCACAGAATGCTGAGAGTGCCAGAGGCCCTCAGGTTGGGGGCACACAAGTATGGATCAAAGGGAAGCTACATTTTCAGGCTGGAGATTTTTTCACAGTGAGCAAATAGGAATAGAGCGGGGTGGCATGGCACGTACTCCATCGGCCCCGTGTCTTCCCAGCTAGGGCAGCGCATAACAAGTGTGCCTTTGCACAGAGCGGTTCCACTTATGTTTGTGGAAGGGAGCTTCTGCTGCCCATGGAGCAGCAGGGGCCCTGCCCTCCTCTCAGAGGCTGGTCATGCTTTCCTCTTAGGGAAGGCTGTGAACTCCCCAGTGGTACTGAAATCTTCTCTGAGGACTTTTTGTAACTGCTGCATATATTTGTTCTGACCAACAAGAAAATTCAAATAGACTGAGAGATAACACCTTTACCTGTGTGCCCTGTGAGATTTTAGGCAAACACAGAGGTCTAGGTGTGTGCCCAGGCCTCTCTTTGCAATTCTAATTAACCTCAATGCAATGCTACACCTCTGAGTTCAAAGAAGTATGCAAAAACTGCGCTCCTCTGTCCCCACCCCCAAAGGCCTTTCTGGAATCTTCCCGTTAGTTTTGAAAACGATTTCCCTGTTATTACCAAGCACTGACCACTCTTTGTGCCAGGACAACAAGGTACAGTATCACACCTGACTGTGACAGCATGCGGTCACCACAGTCTTGGTACAGCTGCGAAGATGATTTGGGGAGGATGGGCACGGCCCTGCCTGCCTCCTGCAACTTCCTCCTCTGCCTTCAAATGCCACCTAGTCATCAAGATCTCTGAGCTTGTGCCTCTCTTCTATTTTGATCCAGCAGAATGCGAATGTGGCACAACAGAGCAAGTTTAAAATGCATCGTTCTAAAAAATCCAGACCAGAACTATCAGAGCCTGGGTTCCCAGGGAGTATAGATAGATGTGTTTTCTGTGAATAGCAGCAGAGAGCCGTCATTTTCTTCTGCTGAGGGGCCAGGAGCTCTGATAGGAGGAAACCTGGGGAAAACAGACGCTCCCTAACTTACGATGATTCCAGTTACGATTTTTGAACTTTATAATGGCTCAAAAGTGTACTCATCTAGCCATTCTGTGTTTTTCACCTTCAGTGAAAACTCTGTGAAATGCTCAGTGATATAAAATTGCCTTTGGGTTGATGGTGTTGTGCATCTGTGAGTCCTGGAAGCGCTCTGCACATCTTGAGAACAGGATAAGCTGCACCGTTCCACAGGCCAGGTGGACCGAAGGCAGTTTTGACTTATGATAGTTTCAGGTTACGATGGGTTTATGGGGAAGTGATTTTATCCTAAGCAGAGAAGCAATTGCTTTTGGAGAAAGTGATTTCTCCTAGAAAGCAAACTAATGAGCCTGAGAGAAGGCGAGCAGAGGGACAAAGCATTCGGAGACACTGAACAAGACACAGTGAAGGCAGCGTGGTGACTGCAGAGAATGCAGGGGACGGGTGGCCCCTGGCAGGGTTCTGTCTGTTCCCACAGCCCTCCTGGTTGTAGGGGAACCTTCCAGGGGAAGTTACCTCCTTGAACTTCATTCTTGTTCTGTAGCCCATAAAGGAGATGGCCCGGGCCTCCTGGGCATGTTGTGTGAAGGAGGAACTGAGCTCTCATCCTCCCTGCCGCCCCCATCCCAGCTCTCACGCCCACAGGGGCCTCGTGGGTGCCATGCTGGAAGGCTTACCATCCAGCTGGGTGTCTGATGGGTTCTAGACACAAAATCACAGGCTCGTGAGGCATCCTCAGTGCTCCTGCACGTACACTAGACTAATGGGGAACTTGTACAGCTCTGCGTTTGCCTTTCCTATTCCGAGGCCTCTGGTCACTCTGGGCAAGCACAGTGCTTCATCTGTGCATTGTATCATCTCCTTTAATCCCTGCACTTATGAAATATATATCATTCCTCATCCCCATCTTACAGACAGGCAGCCAGGCTGGAGATGTTATACCATTGTTGGAAAGTCCCAGGGTCAGGACTGGTAAAGCTGGGGTTCAAACTTGAATATCTGACTGCAGAAAGGAGACACTTACCCCATTTATGTTGCCTCAGATAAATTACCTCCAGCCCCAACTACTTAGGAAGTCCTTGCTTACGGTAAGCTGAAATCTGCTGCCTGATATCTTCTGTCTTGTGGTTCTGGTACTATGGTCTAGCAAAACTGTATCTGTGGCTTCTATATTTACAATGTCAGTTGTAAGTTCCCTTCTGCAATAATATCATTTCTCATTTTTTAACTTGTCGGAGCCTCAGGTTGAGAAGTAAAATTACTAGTAATCTTCATATGTGGTTGCTGCTGGCATTGCATGAGCTAGCACAGGTATGGTGGCTAACAGTACCCAGTATGTGGAGCTTCTCCACAGCTGTTTGCAGCCCCATGCACATGTGTCTCTGCTGATTTTGGCTTAGTGCTAGCAGCCAGCCATGATCAGAGTGTTTGCGGTCTTTGGATGCATTTCTGCAGTCCACTGTAGGCTCACCAGGGAATGAGCAGGGGGAATGGGCAGTGAGGAGTGGACAAATTTACCAACTCTTACAAATTAAGCTTAAAAAGAAAGGCGAGGCAGATCTTAGTGAAATAATGAACAGGGAAGGCTTGCTTTGTTTTTGTTTTGTGGACAGGAAAGATCTGATGGTGTTTCAAGGGGCAAGAGGAGGAGAAGCGAGTGATGAAACACACGGGGGTGGGGGCGGCGGTTAAAGGAATGGGCCAGCATCACAGGTGGAGGGCTTAGCCTGGGCAAATGAAGGTGTTTATGTGTCTGAACAAAGAGAGGCAGATGCAGAGGATACCCAAGCCGTGTTGCTAGGTGAAGAAAGAACCCATGTTTCCTAGTATAGTTCCATTTATATGTTCAGAGGCAAGGGCCACCGTCTTGGGTTCTGGAAAGATGATCGGAATTTTCTTTCATCCTCACTGCTAGGTGTGACACTGGACAGGTGTGTTACAGGCTGCATAGCAGGTGGCATCCTGCAGCCAACTTTCACATACAGCAAGGACAGACAGCCTCACAGGCTCTGCTGTGAGAAAGTTACTTCATCTCCTTGAGTGGTGGTGACCTTGTCTGCAGAGGAGGGACAGCTCTTCCTGTTCACAGAGGCTGTGCATGGTTCAGTGAGGGCATGCATGTCACAAGCCCGTCGGATGCCTAGAGAGCAGAGGGTCTCTGCTTTGTACAAGCTAGCACACTCAAAATGGGCATGTGCCTACAGAAAGAGTGTATTTTGCCCAAATTAAAGGCTTTTATTCATCTGTACCACTTGTAAGGATGGCCTTGTCATGCCTATTTTATTTTATTTTATTTTTTGGAGAGAATGTCTCGTTGTATAGCTCAGGTTGGCTTGAACTCACCGTGTAACCCTGGCTGGCCTTGAACTTACAGCAATCTTCCTGCCTCAGCCTTCTGAGTGCTGGGATTATGCACATGCACCACCACGCCTAGCTAGTGGCAAAAATAAATCTAATGTCTTTTTGAGGAGGCTGGTACGGGGTTGATGGAAAGGAAACCAGCCATTTCCTTCCTTTTCGCTCTTGAAGTTGGAGTACAAAATTATAACAGAGAGAAAGAGAGAGAGAAGAGAAGCGTTCATTCCCGCACCACCCAGTTTAGTCACACCCTGCAAAAGTGTCCCCGCAGCATCTCTTCCATGCCCTCCACCCTCATCAGCTCTGCCCCCTCTGTGGGTCCGACCCTTTAAACGCCCACTGCTGAAGACAGAGTGGCCACGTCACTAGGTGCCTGTGTAAGCCCTGCGATAGCTGCTTGTTGCTCCTAAACAGAACCAGGTTCTGGTTCTCTTCGTGTGCTCCCATGAAGGCCCAGGCTCTTTGCTAAGCTGGAGGACTCTTCTCCATGACTGCCTGCAGCAGGGACCCGAGTCCTGTGTCCTGTTGACCACCTGACGGCGCTTTCCCAGGCTCTCCCTTCTCTCCCACTGTGCAGTTTATTCTGCCTGCTGTATGTGATCTGCTTCCTCTTCTGCCATCCTTGCCAGAACACAAGTGCCTCGGCCAAAGCTCTTCGGCTGCTTTGTTCTCAGATGCAAGCTGAGTGTTGGATGGGAGGCAAGTGACAGCCAACCCATGCCATTGAAAGAACAACTCACTGCCGGCCTCTTTGGCCTCTTCTGTAGTTCTGCTGGGTCTTGCTCCCCAGTTCTCCCCATTCCCCCATCCTAAGCAGGACATTTTGACTCCCATACAGTTCCTTCCTTCCTTCCTTCCTTCCTTCCTTCCTTCCTTCCTTCCTTCCTTCCTTTCTTTTTCTTAATTCCCAAATAGTTCTTGCCCCTGGACCTTTGCATGTGCTCTGCCAATGGAAAAGTGTGATCTCTCTTTTGTCCCCTGCTTTTTTCATCTACTTGGATAATTCCTGCTTGTTCTTCACGTCTTTTCTGAAGCATTGTTCCTCCTAGGAATCCTTCTGTGACCCAAACAATAAGGGAAGCTTCCTCCTTTGACCCTGATGGCACCTTGTCCTCCTGAAGACCCGTTTTGGGGTAGCAGTTGAGGCAGGGTCTCGCTATGTATTCAAGCTAGTTTTGAATTCGCTGTGTAGCCCAGGCCAACCTTGAACCCATTGCAACCTTCCTGCCTCAGCCTCTTGAAAGCCATGTTAGGTTTTTGAAGACTCATTTTGACATGATGATTTCCAGTGGAATTTCTGCTTTCCCTTTTTGTCTTTAGACCGTGAGATGTTTAGAGCAGAGGCTCTCTCTATATCACTCACTCTCGTATCTTTAACACCAAACCCAGTGATCAGGAGAGAGCAGCTGCTGAATGTGTTGTTGCTAAAGGATATTCGATGGAGGACATTTAGGGCCATCTGGGGCTCAGTCCAAGAAAGCACTGGAATGTTCTAATTTGTAGTGGAAGAGCAGATTCCTAAACCCGCCTGATGTGAACCGAGTATAAACTTTTCTCTCTGACAGCGTTCTTTGCCCACAAGGTGGAGCATGAAAGCAAGACCAGCAATGGGCGCAGCTTCCAGAGGACGGGGACGTTTGCCTTTGAGCGCGTCTACACTGCCAAGTGAGTCCAAACCCTGGAGCTTCTGGCTCACAGGGTGGAGATGGGGGTATGGGGAGCCTCCTTGCGGGAATAAGATCACCTTCAAGGCTGCATGCTTGGCCGGGCCAACCTTCAGGTGCCCAGGAGGTAGGTTCCTGTGAGGTGGGGGTTCTCTGCAAGGCTTTGCAGACGCCCTTCAGCATCTCAGTGTGTGGAAGAGTGAGAAGCAAGGAAGTGAGCACACGCGTAGCTCCTGCAACACCTGAGAGATTCATTCAGCTGGAAGCTCCAGCCAAGAGGTGACCTCAGGTGCCCAGAGCTCCTTCCAAAGGGGAGTCAGGGCCACCCACGGAGGGTGTGTTTAGAATGACAACAGCACAGACAAACTGAGGGGTGAGGGCGGGAGGAGGGCAGCTGGAGGAGGGTTGCCCTGGGGCCTCTGCTGGTTTCCTGTGGCTCACACCTACTCTAAGGGAGCTTGGTGGGACAGCTCCTCAGCCTCACCAGATCCCTTGCATCAGTCCTTGGCCTCCCTTAGGTGGCGTGTATGCTTTTGGAGAACTCTTGAGGGGTGCAATCCTCATTGGAATTTTCCATTATTTTGAAGAATAGATGAAGGCCAACCTCCTTCTCCCTCAACTTCTAAATTACTATGTGCCTTAACTGAACCACTCAGGGGACAAGCTGGCAGGGTCATCATGGGTTGACGCTCTGGGACCTTGTCCTCTTTAGACCTTTAGCTTTTTCAGGCCACTCCTGAATGCTCAGCAAACCCCCCAGGCCCCTGCCCTCTGTCCAGGCCACCTGCTCCGCTCCACTCCCCCCCCCCCCAGCACACACACCTCAGCATTCTTGGCATAATTACCCATGGGGCATTATTCTTACACTCAGCAAAAGAAGTTCAAAGATGTGAGCTAAGAGACACTGCAGACCCATTTGGAGGCAGGCAGGGAAAACATGCATGTTGCTATTGGCTTCTTTGCAGCATTTTCAGGGGTATCAATATCTGTCAAGAAGGCATCTGGTCAGGGATGAAGCCAAACAAAATCTCTCTGAAATGAACCCCAAAAAAGCATCACCACTCTGGAAGAGAAGCTTCCTCCTGTCCAGATGTCCAGGTGTCCGGAAGACTGTGTACACTTGCTTTGATACTGCATCTGTTTTATTCTTTCATGAATGGGGATTGAACTCAGGGCCTTCTCCCAGCCCTTCGCACGTTTGATTTTAAGACTGGGTCTTACTAAGTCATTAAGTTGCCCGCGCAGGGTCTCACTTGTGATCCACCTGCCTCAGCCTCTCAGGGTGCTAAGATTACAGGCATACACCACCAGCATTCTTATTTGTGGTCTAGCTCCTCTACTCTGGAGAAGCCACAGTAAAATTTCACTGCATCTGCTTAGCACTTAAGGTTCCATTTTGCTGACAATGAAGAAGAAACAGGGCAGGCTGAGTTGTCCCGTTTCTGTCACTTGTCCTCAGGAGCAAAACAGCTATTTCTAAGAAGCCAGTGTGCTTATGCCTCATTGGCTATCAGCTTCTAAATTGCAGAAGTGCCCTTTGACTGGTGGCTGGGAGGGTGGTTAGAAGTTCTGCAATTGTATATGGTCCAGAGATAAGAAGGTGCAAAAAGGGAGTAAGGGGTAACTAACCACAGCTTAGGGGTCCTTGCGTGTAGAAGCTCAGAACAGTTTGCAAAATCCATATGTCTTTGCCACTGAGCTCTTGTGAGAGGGTTAGGAAAAGATTGATGGGAAAGGAGAGAATGCAAGGAGAGCCCAGAAGTAAGGTAGCAGAAGTAAGAAGTAAAGTTGCTCAGACACTGCTGCGGTTCTGTTATAAAAACCACTTCCCCTCTGGCCCAATAAAGGTGTGTGCATGACTGTGGATTGTAAGAGGGGCCTGTCTTAGGTACTTATCTTGTTGTTGAAACAAAATACCCAACACTCAAAGTTAAAGGGAGAAAAGGTTTATTTAGCTCACAGTTTGTAGAGGTTTCAGGCCACAATCACAACAGGTCATGGTGGCAGAAGATGGCAACAGCAGTGAGAGGGAGGGAGGAGAGAGAGAGGAGAGAGAAAAAGAGAGGAGAGAGAGTGAGAGATAGAGAGAGAGAGAAGCCTCTTTCTGCCCCTTATATTGTATGCAAGCTACCTGCTGAGGCAGCGGTAGCACTCATACCCTTAATCCTAGTTTTGGACCATGAGTCAATCACAGACTCTAGATTTAACCATCTCTGAAAAGCATAACTGTATGAGGCTTTGGGGGGATGTCTAGACATAAACCATAATGGTAAGAGATCAGTTCAACAGGCTACTGTGTGCTGACAAGAGCCAGGGGCACCCAGGATGTTTGCCTGTGCTAGCAGACTCTGGGAGGGGGTTATGTGTTGTTTTAGTAGAGGTTGTTACCGGCAATAGCTTCCTCAAGGGCCTTAAAAATGCCGGCAAAGGGATGTAAGATATCTGTTTGGAGTGCAGGAGGAAAACAGCATGACTTTAATCTTGTTATCCAAAGCATAGGAAATGAAGACTCATTTTTTAAATAATCAGATTGACAGTAGCATCTGCATGTAATGTATACATAACTGTACCTGTCAGAGTTTCATGATCAAAACCCCTGGTCGATAGGATATGGGATCATAAATGTTTCGATGCCCTGGATATGAAAGAAAAATGTAAACAATAAGTAATGCTAGTAGATTGATGCATTTTATTTCAGCATAAAACATGACTGTTGACAGAGACAGAGAGCCGGAGGTTCTGAGGCAGGGGATGTACGGACCTTTCAGCTGAGACTTGGCCTGGATTGCTGAGCTGATCCACCACCGGGCTCCCTTGATGGCAGCACTGAGTCAGGGGTTGGGAGCCCAGAAGAGCTGGAGATTGACTCTCTGCTCGCAGTACAAAATACAGTTCAGTGCTCCACTCTCAGAGGACAAACATGACCTTGGTCACAGTGCAGCTTTGGAGAAAAATCCTCAGGTCAGTTTGTGGACCTGAGGATCCGATCTTTCCTGTGAGTACAGAAGAGAGAATGGGTCTCTGGAGATACACAATTTCCTAAAATGTGTCCTGTGGATTCCAACTTCAGGGGTCCTTAGCAGGTGTTACAGGGAAGGACAAGTTCGTGACACCCTGACTTTTGAGAACCTGTGACATATTAGGGAACACTGAGACTCTTGGCCTCTAAAAGGGGATATTTTAGTTAACCACAAATGGTCCCTACCTCCTTGTGTTTGTTCTAAAACACACTTGAAACATTGCAGCCCCACATCACTTCACCTCCTGTGTCTATTGGCGCTCATTGTAACTTCACTTTGAAGTAGTGTAGACTGGTACAGTTATTTGAAGGTGATAGGTGTAAAATGACCTTATTGATTAGTACTGAGACCACTTCTGGACCATTATTCATAGCTCTTTACTCTAAATCAATGCAAACCAGTTAGCAGAACCTTAAAGCGTTCTTCTATTGTATTCCTAGAGGAGCGAAAGGAAAGGATAACAATGCAAGCCCTTTTCTCCATAAAAAGAGGAAGTGTGCAGGGCATCAAATAGAACACAGCACAGCAAATTAGTGCCAGATTTGCTGGGCAGCTCATATTCAAGAAACATAAGTCAAAATGGGTTTGTCTGTTTTGCAGAAAAAAATGGCATGAGACTCCCTAGAAGAAAATTCTTAGTAACAGCAGCAGCAGCAGCAGCAATAATAATATGTGATTAGAAAAAGACATGTCCATTGAGGGAAGAGAGAAGACAAAGGAGAAATAATCGCCACTGTTTACTGAATGTTTCCTGTAAACCACACAGAGCTTCCTGTTACTGTGTTCCCACAACAGTGCAGCAGGGTGCTTACTAAGGACTCCCTTCGCTCTTAGGCCGAGCACACAGAAGCTCTGTGAGGCTGGGGTAGCTGCCTACCTTCACACAGCCAGGTGGCAGCCCTGGCTCTGGCCTCGGACTGTGTGAACCCATGAGCAGTGGTGCAGCTCCCTGGCGGGACTCAAACTGTGCCACCACCCAGAGCTCCTTGACTTGAGCCCAGCAGCAGCACCCCAAGGTGTGTGTGTGTGTGTGTGTGTGTGCAGGAAGGGAAAACTGGCTGGGATATTGGGGTGGTAAATGTGCTAGAAATCCTCAATGGGAAGAGGGACAGGCTTGAACTGTATTGAGGGGTAATACTCAGAGAATGTTCTGGAAATCCCAAGAAATAGTCCACTGATGGGAGAGTTTCCTTCAACTCCAGACAGACCATGTTTTATTAGGACCCAAGGTGACTTGAAATAATAGGAATGGTTAAAGGACTGATTCAGTGTCATCACTGCACATTTCTCTTGAATGAGAAAATTCCTGGACAACTAAGGATTTCCTTTTCAAGCAGAAAAAAAAAATCACTGTTAAACAACAACAAAAAGACCCAGAAACATGAGAATGAGGAAGAAGCTGGGGAAATAGGTTTTCCAACTCTAAGAGTATAGATATTGTATCTCATTGACATGACACGGTTTTTAACCCACTGAAAAAGGATTTTTTTTCTCTAGTTCTCTTCAACTGGAAAATGAATCCCATTTTCTCAGTCACGAGGCTGCAATTTTGTGCCTCTAATAATGGGTAAGAATAGCAGTGGGGCTGGCACAGAGTTGTAACTGCGCCTGTTTGTTTGTGGCATCCAAACGGACCCCTCATAAGGACCTCTTAGCCCTTGGGGCTGTTACCAGATCAGTGACAATTCAAGGTCACCAGGGGTGCGTTTTCCCCGTCCTGTGCCTGGTGTAGGCTGGGAGACAGGATGCATGGGTTCCTTGCCCACTACATTCACTGGCTTCTCCAGGGAAGTCTTTTGGCCATCGGAGGGGCATGACAGTCCCTGCAATCAGGCAAGGACAGTATGATCTCTTGGGGTCTCTGTAGTGCTGCCTGATCCAAATGTATTAGCAGCTTTCTGTAACTATAATGAAATACCTGACACGGACTATTTATTAAGTATATAGGGACTCTCAGTTCTGGAGAGGTGTGCATACCATAGGAGGAACATATGTGTGTGTTCCTATAAAAACCAGGAGTGTGTGTGTGTTCCTATAAAAACCAGGAAGGAGAGACAGAAAGATCAGCGGGGGAGGGAGAGAGAGACAAGACATGGCATGTGCATGTGGGTCCCCCCCCCGCATTCTTTTTAAAAATTTTTATGAGCACATTTGCAATATGTGATGATTATATTCTAATAGAGAGCTGGTACATATACATAACACATCTTAACTATTTCAATGTTCCTTTTTTTCCATCTCTACTTTCCCTTTTCTTTTGCAAACAATTTACCTCCCTATTCCTATTATTTATCTTTCATTTGCACTTTCAGTGACCTGAGAACCTCCCTTTCAGCCTCGCCTCCTAAAAGGTGCCTGCACCTCCCAGTAGGGTCCCTCCAGGAGTCCAACTTCTAACACACACAAGAGAAGGGTTTCGGGGCTCACTTCCCATATTCAAACAGCAGATAGCACTCAAATTTTTGATGGTAGCAGTTTAAAAAAAGCAGTTTGAAAATCACATCTTTACTTTTATCTATGTAATTTGAATCCCGTTAACCTATGGTCCTCAAACTTGAGCATGCGCCTGGAGGGTTTGTTAAAAAGCAGTTATGGAGCCCCTCCATTAAGTTTTGATTCTGCAGGTCTGAGGAGGATGCATACATTCGCCTGTATGCCTGGGGCGGCTATGCTGACACTGCTGGTCAGAAATGACACACACCTTACACCAGACCTCAGACACATAGACTAGCTTCTTTGGACCTCAGAGCTGTTTTCAGTCTCTTGTTTTACAGATGAGGAAACTAAGTCCAGAGACACTGCTTTGCCACTAGTGAAAAGCTGGTTAAAGGCAGGGTGAGGACTTAGGTCTCTGCAAGTGCCCCTTCTGCTGTACCCTATTGTCTCCCTTATTTGCCTGCCGTGTCTTGTTCTGTTGGTTTTCTGTGTTTGCGGTTCACTTATTGCTCCGATCTAGACTGCAGACTCCTCATGAGTACACCTCTTGTTTAATTTAATACAAAGAGTTATCAGCCTGGCTATGAGAACCTGGCTTTACCTTGTTGGGAGACTCTGGGCAAGTTATTCTGCTACCAAGACATCAGAGTCTTTTCTGAAACTTTAGCAGAACTGAGGCAGAAAGAAAAGTACTGCACTCTCTCCATACGTGACCACGTCTCTATTTCTAGGAGTTTAGGAGTACGTTAGGTTTCATGTATTCAGGCTGATAACCCGTTGCCTTTGAACTAAAGAAGATCATTTTGTGTTATCTGGGTAGGACTTGGTGTATAATTACAAGGATCCTTCAAATGGAGAAGGAGGAAGCAGAAATGATTTAACACTACAAAAATAGGGTGGCTTGGTGGTGCTGGAGCTCGTGCTTAGCATGCTGCAGACCCTAGGTTCTGTCTTCACTACCACAAAAGCAACAATGTCTTTCTGACTCTGTCTCCCTTTCTGAGTAAACATCAGAAGACTCCAGCAGCCGTTCCTGGTGACGAGGTTAGAAGGGGCCATGAGGAATACTAGAGCTCTTGAGACATGAGAGAGGGAAGGAGAGGGAGTTTCCCCTAGAGGCCGGAGGGAATACAGCCTGCTCACATCTTGTTTAAGCCCAGAGACCCATCCGAGGCTCGTGACCTCCAGAACTGTGAGACCCGAGTTTGTGTTGTTTTAAGTCACCAAGTTTGTGGCCTCTTGTTACAATGGTTGGAGAAAACTAACACAATTGTCTTGTGTACTCGTGGGAACATGGTGAGGGTAAAAGAGATGAAAGCATCAGTGTGATGCCTCAAATACAGCGAACCCCATCCCCTGAGTGGGACAAGGACCATGCCAGCACCCAGCGAGGCACCACTGCCTGTGAGCTCACTTTCCATGGAAGCTTTTGTGAATGGATCCTGGCTTCCTTAATGGTTGAAGATCGCTTTCCCAGCCTGGCTTGCAGATGTGGACCTGTGTGTATGACATTCCCGCAGCCCAGCCTTTCTCCTCTGACCCTCCCCACCTTGCTCATGACCACGTCCTGCCGTTCGCAGTGCTTGCTTTTAAATTCTGAGCAGTGCACAGGCACTGCCAGGTGCAGAAACCCTGCCAGAGCGAACATGTCAAGAAACCAGGTCTCCGGTCAGTTTCCCTGTAGGAAGAGTGTGACTGGATTCTGAGCGCATGCTTGCTTCCCACCCTTGTTTATTGACGTGGTGCCAGCTGCCCGTCGTGGGTAGATGTGAGTGGAACTATGAGAGAGGGTCTGTGTGGCCCTCGTGCAGTGGTGATTATTAATTTGGGGTTTCATTTTCAGACCACATTGCAGCAATGTGTTTTCCTGATTTCTCTCCTCCCTGTTTATTCTACAGCCAGAACTGCGTAGACGCATACCCTACCTTCCTTGTGGTGCTCTGGACTGCCGGGCTTCTTTGCAGCCAAGGTAACTGGGACTTGCCTTTGTGTGCTCTTTCTCTGCAATGCGCATCTCAGGGAAGTTCAAAGGGCAGGTACTGAGTTGAAAAGACTTTGCCTGACCTCCCGGCTCAGACCTGTGCACCCCAGGGAGCTCTTGGGACGCTGGGCTGCAGGCTGGCTTCGTGCAGCACAGTAGAGAGAGATCCTGCATTGCTAATGCATGCTCCCTGGCAGCTGGTTGAGAGCTGCGTGCTGACAAGGGTGGTTTAAGGCTAAATGTGACTCAGAATCCATAAGCAGCATTAGCTCAGTTACAAGGGCATTATAAATGAGACCGCCTGAGGGATCCATTCCAGAACTGCTGTCACTGGGCTCTTCTGTTAACAAGTTCCTGGCATGGTGGTGTTCCTTTAGGCATGTGCACCTGTGGAGCCATGGGCTGGGTGCCAGGTCCCCAGCTACCCCAGGGTTATCAGCAGCTCACATTCTTGACTTCACTAAGTCACAAGAACAGATCAACTCCCAGGGTTGATCTAAATTTGAGTGGAAACCAGAGGCACCTCCTTTAGGTATCTTTGGAGATTTAACACCCAACAGACTTGGCCACAGCTGGCATCTGTCTGGTGGCAGCTTGGTCTTTGCAGGCCAACTTCTGTGCATCAGCAGGGCTCACTTGGAAAGGCCACCGACCATCCTCCATTGAGCTGCTTAAACCTTACTGTCTTCTCCCTACTCTGTAAAGAACGTAGAGCAGATCTTACTTCCCTATTATTTTTGAGGACACTTTGGTTCAGGGAAGTGAAGTCACTTGTTCAAGGTTCCTCAACTAGGGAGCCACAGAGACAGGGTTGGAGTCTCTGTCCTTCAGTTCCAGTAAGTTCTGGATTTTCACATGTATCCTCTCACTTTATTCATTTATACAATAAACATACACGGAGCATCGACTTATATGCAAGCCCCGTGTCTGAATATACAGCGATAAATAAGACAGAGATAGCAGCGAAGCCCAGACTGGCTGGCAAGAGGAATCCTAGAAAAGTGGGTACCTGCACAGACTGTTGCCAGGAGTCAGACATCATGAAGGACAGAGGCCAGGAACAGCTCCTCACCACCTTCTGTGCCTGGAAGGTACCAGTGAGCACACCGTTTTCAAATTTCTGTCCTGAGTGAAATGAGAAACTTGAAAAATCAAGTCAAAGTCCACTTGTCCTATGAGTCATGACTCCTTTTATGTGCTCACTGGTGCAAAATTGAGATGAATTTGCAGTGGCTCCAGGGAGGTAAATTCCAGGGAGCTTGGCGGTGCTTGGAGCCTGTCAAAAATAGTATTGGAACTGCTGGGCTCTAGTATATCAGTTACCGTTGGGTGACGATTGTCTGAATGTACCAGAATTTCTCAGCTGAAAGGGGCCATGGAAATCATTCTAGCTCAAAGCTCTCCCTTTACTGAGCAGGAGCCAGAGTTCCATTGATGCAAGTGGCTTGCTTAAACTTCAAACTTGTAGAGCCTGGATTTGTTCCCTTGGTAGCCCAGGTTCCCACTGATGTCCCCATCCTCCCTCTAGAAGGACAATGGGTATGGCGCCTTTCCAAGCTAATTTCTATTAGCTCATGATCAGTTGATTTCCCACTGAAAGAGAAATGGGCCAGAAAGCCAAATCAGAGTCATCCAAGTGACAAAACCCAGGAAACACTTTGAGGCAAATCAGATTGTGACAGTGTTGTGTCTTTCAGAGGACAGGGTGAACCACAGCTTCTGAGGTGCCCCCATGTTCTTACCTGCCCTAAAACAACAGTATTTTGGAAGGCAGGAGGAGCTATGGTGCAAGCTGGATCTTGGGGAGTGATGGGCTGGAGGCAAATTCAGCAACTCCCTTGCCAACTCAGGCTCTTACTCTGCCCTTTGAGCCTCAGTTTCTCCCCTGGAAAATGGGATGGTTGAGGATCTTCTGCTGTTCCTAGGGGGAGTAAGAGAAAAAATGTGCATAAAGTCCTGACAGTGCATGGCATGCATCAGATTAAGCCTTCTAACTGTCCGTGCCTGACTATTTATGACCCACAGAAATGTCAGTTTTGCATTGAACTCACCAAGCTCAGCAAATGTTACTACTGATGCTGCTGTGGGTGGTGGCACATTTGAAATCAGAAAGACATGAGTTTGACTTCTGTGATGATTGCCTGACTTTTTCTTTCATTTGGCAAAATTTGTTTGAAGTCTGTTTATGCCAAGCTCAAAGGTGATCTAGGGAGGGACAGTGGTCCTCATGAATCTTTTGGTCTGAGCTTCATTTCCTCTTCTGTCAAATGGTGACTGAAAAGTGCTCCTTACCATGGGTCTGGGAGGCTTACAGACTCAAGTCTGGGTGGTGCCAGGGAGGCGACCGATATGTAAAAAGTTACCACCAGCAGCAGCAGTTAATTTAGGATTTAAATAATGCTTGCAAGTTCTCCAAGTGCTTTTGTATCTAGGGCCCAATTTCATTCCTACTCACTCCTAATAGGATAAAAGTGCTGATCAGCCCTTTGTCCATATGCAAAATGAGTTAACACCAACAACACTACTCTTGGGAGAGCTAGATTTTCCAACTTCTAGCTCCAAGTTCAGGATGCCTTGAAGTCACTGGGGTGCTGCTTGGGGCTCTTTCCTAAGGGACAAGAAGGCAGGCAGATTCTCCTTTCTGAGAGACCTCCTAGAAACAGTAGCAACTGTCCAGAAGAGGTGAAGCATATTTTTCTGGGAACCCCAGGAGTACAAGATGTGATTTCAAAAGCCTCAGGCGAGGGGGTCTGGGTTCAAGTTCTGCCCTCCTCTAAAGCTGACAACCTCACACACCCCTTTGACCACCTGGGCTCAGATTCCCACATCTAGAAACAGACATGTCTGTTACACTAGAAGAATTCATGCTAGCTGACAGGCACAAACTTTATAAACCATGCCACAAGAGTAGTATAAGGTAATAATAGTGTACTCATTGGAGTTCTTAAGCTTCTTCTAGCCCTTTGGTTTCTATCTGATGTTCTCGCCAGCCTCCACCCTCAGAACCTGTGGCCTCTGCTAGGTTTTGTGGCCAGCGCTGATCACTTAGTGACTGTGTTGCTGTTGTATTTACAAAGCGTACTTGGGTGTCTGCGAAACTAACTCGAGTGTTTCCATTTCTCCTCCTAGTTCCTGCTGCCTTCGCTGGACTGATGTACTTGTTTGTGAGGCAGAAGTATTTTGTGGGCTATCTGGGGGAGAGAACTCAGAGGTAGGTCCCTGGGACTGTTAAAGAACCACCGGGATGATGCCTGCTTTTCCGGCAGGAGAGGTGATAATTCTGAATGGTGTTCCAGCCACCATTTAAGGCTCTGAAAGTTCCCTTGGCAGTGGCAGGGAGGACCGTCTAGGATCTCTCCTCTCTTCCTGAGCTTTGAGGGCTCTGACAATGCAGCTGGGGACTCGTCTAGTCTCCCCTTACAACATTTGTCCACGCAGCACTGGACTTAGGCAGGTGCTTTAAAGCCATGGGCTGTACTTTTGCAATCCCACACCTGCCACTGCCACCCTTCAGAGCTGGGCTAGAGTGACCTTATGCCTCCAGTGAGTAAAACATTTGTTGGTTGAGAGAAATGAGACTGAAAGCCTGCACCGTGCGATAAGTTCTGTTGAGTAACAGATCTTCTGGGGACCTGCGGGAAGAGGTTGAGAACATATATCACAACCATGAAGCTGTGAAGAGTCACCATTGCATTGCTTATAGAGGTTCCCAAACAGGAAGCCCCGAGTAGCCTGACACTTTCATGACACCTGCACTGGGAAATTTGGATTTTAGTGAAGAAAGTTATGGTCATTCCAAGAAGCCATAGTGAGTTACGGGATGCCTCAGTTTCCTTAGAGGCTGAAATTCCTAAAATCCCAGAGGACAGGAGGGCCAGGAACACACAGAGCCTGCTGCCTCCTGCCTTCCCCATCACTTTTCTCCCTTGTCTGCATTTACCTCCCTCTCTGTCTTTTACAATAGCACCCTCCTTCGGGGTGCAGTGGGCACTTTGTGTAGAGAGCATCCTTCAGCAGTGACAAAGGAAGTGACAGCCCCGGAGGTCAGCAGGCCCAAGAGCCGCACAGCAGGAGGCTGGGAGGGGCTGATGGGGGCCTGGGCTGTGGCCCGGAAGAAGAGTTAACTGTTCTTATGGTGCCTTCTTCCGTTGCCCCTCTCTCCCTTTGGTGGCATCCTCATCCTCTGCCCTGCGGTTCCCTGACGGCTCCTGTTCTCATCAATGACGTCTCAGGGATATCCTTTATTCTCTTCCTCCCTGCAAAGGGATCCTGCCTTCCCAGCTGACTGGCTGTTGTTAAGAGAGGAAGGAAGCCGAGTCTGGTAGTGAAGCAGGAGAGTCTTCTCTCTTGGGGCTACTCCCTCTGCAGCCCTGTTGTCCTCCAAAGCCCTGGCGATTTGGCTTGCGTACTGTTATTTTCCTTTCTCTGTCACAACTTGTTTGAATTCCTAAATTTATTTTAATTCTGGGGCAGTCTGGGGAGCACGACCCAATTTTTCCAACTGTCCCCAGGCACTTTAAGTTTTTCTTATGACAATAGTGTAGTTTGGGCCCAGGGAGTGCTAAGCTGTACCCTCAGCCTTGTTTATTTATCCTCCTAGCCTGTTTTTCATTTTTATTGATATGATTACTCATAGCTCATGTTATAGCATATTTGGGGTTATTATGTTCCTGTACACAGCTTATCTTTATTGTTTTCCCTTCCCCTTGTCCTCACTGTTCACTCTTGTTTCCTTGGACTGTTTTCCTATTATGAGAGATCCATCCTCTCATCCCATTGTATCCATCTTTATCATTCTCTTTGTACTTTGCCTCACTCAAATGAGAGTGACTGTACAGTATTTAAGCATGTGTGCTTGGTCTGTTCCATTCAACATTATACTTTTCAGATGCATACATTTATCTCAAATATCCACAAATATCTCAGATTTGTCATTCTTTACAGCTGAGTAGTATTCTATTTTATATAGACACCACATTTTCCTTCACTCATCTGTCAATGACTATATAGACTGCCTCCAGGACTTTTGTTATTGTGAATTGTGCTGGAATGTAAAGACTGGTCAGCGTGAACCCCCTCCCAATAGTATGAAATCTTAAGTTCTTTGGGGAACATACTGTCTTGGTTACTTTTCTCTCATTGCTGGGACAAAATACCCAACATCCAAAGTTAGGGAAGAAAACTATAAGTTAGCTCATAGTTTTTGGAGGTTTCAATCCATATTCAGCTGACTTCAAGGCAAAGTGGCATGGCTGAGGGTCAGCATGGCAGCTGCAGCACAAACCAGAAGCGATAAGAACAAAAGGGCAGAAAAGGGCAGAGCACACCTCCTCTCCTCCCTTAAGTTGTATGCAGGTTTCCTGCCCCTGGTGGGTGCAGCCCTCTCACTGCCAAGCCCAGTACTAGACAATGAACCAATCACAAATGTTAGACTCAGTTGCCTTCAAAAGGCCCCTGCCCCATGACTACATGAGGCTGTGGGGGACATTTAAACACAAACCATAACAGGTATCAGAGAAATAGCTGGATCATAAGGAATTTTTAATTTCAGTTCTTTGAGAAATCTCTATGTCAATTTCCATAATGGTTTGAGGCACTTCCATACTATCTTCCACAATGTCTGTATTGATTTACATCCTTACAAATGGGGTTCTTTCTTGATGAGACCAAACCAAGAGACTTACCTCGTCACTGCTTCCTCAAATGGCAGAAGACAGAATGACAGGGGGCTCAGGTGCTCTTTCAGTCTCTTTATGAGGTCACCAATTCCATTATGATGCAACCACCTCCTAGAAGCCCTAACTCTAAATGGTCACTTTGGTGACTGAGTTTCAGCATGTGAATTTTGAGGACATCTTCAGGACATGACTTTTGGCGACTTTTGGGGATGTTAAACTCAGGTAACTTGCTTTTCCTTGGATGCTCATCCACTCTTCAGTCACTCAGCATCCACTCAGTAAGTACCTGCTCCATGCCAGGCACCATGTCAATCGCTCAGGGAATCACAAGGAATGTCACTGAGCCCAAGTGTCACCTAGAGTCAGGGTTGTGTTTCAGGAGCTTATTTGTTGGATACATATTGCTTGTATGTGACATACACACAGTAGATCTAATTTTTAAAATGTGGAAGTCCTGGTCCCTTGCAGTCATTTCTGTTCCCCAATATCATTCTCTTAGAGTTTCTGGCTCTCCAAATGTGTCAATTCACCATGGTGTTACTTTACCAGAGTTCGAGAATGAGCTAGCTTCTTTTGGAAACCCTGGCACATATATTAATATCAAGGCTGGTTTCTAAAAGTGAAACCCATCCGACAACTGCACTAGAACCACCTGGAGGTGCTTATTAAAATACAGATTCCTTGCCCTAAACCTGGGTTTATAGAGTCAGAATTTCTTTGTGGGGAGGCCCAGGTACCCGCGTTTTAATGTGCTCAGGTGGTTCTGTATATACTAGAATTTGGGAACCAAACTGTCCATACTGCCCTCAGACTTTGGAGACCAGGATTTGGTTATTAGTTTTGAAACAAATGGGTCCTCCACAAGCTGTATAAAGCTTGCATGAAAGCAAAATAAATGTATGCTAAACAATTCCCATCTGGAATGTGCCAGAAACTTCTAGAATGAGTGTGGTATTGTGGATGTTAAATCAGGCTCCAGAACCCACAGCTGCAGCCCCAGCTCAACTCCACAAGCTCTCCGGTCAGTCACAATGCTCCTCACTTCCCCAGGTACATCCCGCACCCCAGTTTTCATTGTGCACACAAGAACAAGAGGAAGACAGCACTTCATGTCCCTTCTGTTCTTGGAGGTGGGGTGTAACACTGGAAATTAGTGTGGTAAAAAGAGCAGAACTCCTGCCTCACATGGGCAGTATTGAATTCCTACTGTGCCTCTTCCTGGCTGTGTGTCTTTAAGCAGATCACTCAGTCTCTCTGTTCTCAGTTTCCACAACTGGAAAATAAATTAATAATATGTCCTAACAGAGAGGATATGAGAATTAAACATGTGGCTATAAGTTACCTAGTCCCAACAGATGCTTGATAACAGATGCTGCCATTGCTGTGTCAATGTAAATTATATACCAGCTTCTACAATGAAAGAAATATCTAGGTTGTTCAAGAACAGGAGCTCCTGCATGTGCACTGTCCAGCCCCCCGTAATTCCTTCTGCCCTCCGCTCCATGTCAAGTCCCCGGCAGCTTTGCCTTAGGGTGGGGCAGGTTCTTCCTCTGCACGCACCAAGCCCACTCCCTGGAGGCACCTCTGGCCCTGTCCTTGAGAGACTTCCAAAGGTGTCAGATACGGTGCCTGCCTGGGCTCACACTCTCACTCAACCTCAGGTGTTGCTTTGACCTTCCACACTCTGTATGAGAGGAGTTAAAAGCCCTGGTCCTAGCTCCTGTAGGGCCATATGCCTTTAGGCCTCAGATCAATTTCCTAAACTCAAAAACACCAGCATTTCATCAAGAGGCACTGACATCTCATTTTTCACTCTTTTTTTTAAAAATTCTGAGTGCAAAACAGCTTCAGAAATCACTTGTTTCTGGAACAAGCATATGGTGGCCCCATTCATGTGGTAGATCTGAGCCACCACAATATTTGAATTTTCACAATTTATCTGAATCCTCTCTTCTCTGGCTCAGAAATATCCCTTCCTTTGGTTTTTTTTTTATTCTCTTCTCATTTCCTTTGCCAGTACTAGCAAAGGTGTCTGTCTCTGCTGTCACAAAGTGCCAGAGACTGGGTAGTCTAAATGGACAGAGAAGCCTGTGGTCTCATAGTCCAGATGGTGCAAATCCAAGGTCAAGGTGTTGGCAGGGTTGGTAGCTCACTGCTTTGCTTATACTTAGCCCCCTTTTCCTCATGTCTTCATGGGGTCTCCTTTGGTACCCATCTTTTTATGGGCATTGGACTGTGTAGATTGGCACTCTCCATATGACTTCTGTCCCCTGTTATTGCTTCTTTAAAGGTTCTGCCTCTAGGAGGGATGAGAAAATGAGACTGTTAATCAGAGGGTACAAAGGGTACTTGACCCTTAATAATAACATACCTGGTATTTCAAAATTGCTAAAGAAACAGATTTTTAATATTCTCACCACAAAATGATACATTGGTGACGTGATGGCTATGTTCAGTACACTGAGTGACCCTACAGTATATAGATCACAATATTGTATTGTATTCCATAAATATATACAACTATTATTCGTCAATTTAAGTCAATACAAGGGTGATTGAAAATATGGTAAATGTTAAAATTGTTTCAGTAAAAAAAAACACATTGCCATTAATCCCTCTCCAAACACTGCTCCTCACTTTGGGTTCTGGAAGCCCCTCTTTCGTGAATGTCTTCATGATGCATGATAAAAATATAGTGAATCTCGCTGCCGAGTGCCATCCGACACAAAGGCAGGTTACTAAAACCATCATGGTGGATCCTTGATCATTTCATTCACTGAATCTGGCACCTTGAGACTTCCAGCTCTTCCCTAAGGTCAAAATGACCCTGAAAGGTAAAGGATTTGAACTGATTCAGAACAGCCACCGCTGTACAACTAGAGACAAGAAAAAGAGCTTCCAGCATGCTTCAGAAAGCAGCAAGAAGGACGAGCTAAATATGCCTGAAGCGAAGGTGAGCATTTTGAGAGGGATTTAATGGCAATTTTGCTGTAATAATTTTTTTGAAAGTTTAAACACATTGTATTTTTCCATCATTCCTCATAATTTTAAAACACACTACTTCTGAATATAGTCAAATTCTGAGGTACCGAGCATTAGCATTTCAGCATAAAAATTTGAAGAGGACATAATTCAACAACACTTAGCTTTAGGACTAATTTCAGTCTCTATAAGGAGACAGGCCACCTTCATAAGCAGGACCATGAGCAGGCGAGCCTGGAGACAGGAACAAGGAAGCATCTGCTTCTGGCGCTTCTCAGGCCTTCACATGTCTGTGAGTCCCACAGGGAGCTTGTTGAAATGCAGATTCTGACTCCCTGGGCCTGAGAGGGACCTGAGATGTTCCCTTTCAACAAGCGCTGGGCAGATGCTGATGCTTTGGTTCACAGATCACACACTGAGTAGTAAACAGTTTGATCCTCAAGCGCTGAGTGACTTTCACATTCTCGCTTGTAGGAAAATTATAAGTTACATTTGATGCTTTGGGGGGTAACTTTCTAATAGATAAAATTTCCCAATTCAGAACCTGTGGATGTCAGATTCTTCCTTCTGGGTGATTGTCATGAGGAGCAGCTGGCAGCTGCAGTAGCTTTCTTGTGTAGCTGAGTTGGCTGTTCTGTTTGAGCAATCCCAAGAGTCAAAGTGTGTCCTTGAAGGGTCTTAGCTGACAACATTAACAAGCCATTTGACTGTACTTTCCAGATTACGCCAGCTCTGCTCAGATGGGCCCAGCCACAGCAGGCCTGGGATTCTGCAGACGGGGAGGGAGCACAGGGCTGCCTCTGCATGCAGTTAGGTAGTCATACCCCACTTGGGGAAACCCCTCCTGAGCCCTGATGATGCTCTGCCTAAGCACCTAAGGATTTAGGACCATCGAGAGGAGGATATGAGTATATTAAAAGGTCTCTATTCCCACTTAATAACCTAAGAGCCTGTCTTCCATTGCTGGGAGCTCAGTTCTCATTAATGGAACATGAGTTATTCCCAGTTAGCCTTAGGAGAATAAATTGAACCCCAGCTACCAAAGCACCTTTTAGCCTTACTAGAACATTTAGAGCCCCCTTCTAACATAATTCTGCATTGTATACACTACCACCAGGGCACCAGGGACATCCTCACAGGTCCTCCTGGAGATGGGATACCATAGAGAACTGAGGGTCTTTTTAATCCTTAATTGTACTGCCTGATGGTGAACAGATGCACCACTCTCCATCATCAAAGAACTGGGATTAAGGATGTCAGGAAAATGCAGAGAAACTGGTGTTGCTGAGCCCTGGTGGTGATGAGTTTTGAGGCCTAGGTCTCTTCACTTCGGCTTTGAAACACGTTCAGCAGTATTTCTATTTCAGGGAAGTGAATGGGTATGTGAAGCTTTGTTGAGTAAAAGGAGCTATGATTTGAGCCCCATGTATCTGGAAATGATGACACTTTTCTTGTGAAATGAGCATCGTGTTCACTGCATCTATGGTTTTCTCCTCCCTTCTTTTCCAGCACCCCTGGCTACATATTTGGGAAACGCATCATCCTGTTCCTGTTCCTCATGTCCCTTGCTGGTATCTTCAACTATTACCTCATCTTCTTTTTCGGAAGTGACTTTGAAAACTACATAAAGACCATAACCACCACTATCTCCCCTCTCCTGCTCATTCCCTAGCTCTCTGCTGAATTCAGGGCTGGCACTCTCTGCTAATCAATACTTGGAAGTCATCATAACTCAACTCTTTACAGGATTTAGCGCCTCTTTAGATAGCTGTAAATCTGATGACCATCTGGGCTTCACAGCTTGAGTTAACCTTGCTTTTCCAGGAAGAAAAGAGATTTCATGTCAGCTCTGCCTCTCTGACATGGCAATGACCCCAGATTTATCATTCAGATCCATGCTGTATATTTCATGATGTATCACTCTTTCTGAAGATGTTTTATGACCAGATGTATGTTTTCCTAAAATAAAAGTCACAGACAAGTCTGGGGCTGATGGCTCTGTTTTGGGGAGTATGCCTTTATAGTTGAATTAATTTGTTTGCTTCCATCTAAATGATAATAAAACACACTATCAATCCTATGGACATAAACTTCATAAAGGGTCATTTGTTGTCCAAAACACACACACTATGTGGATTGGGTTGGTACCTTTGTACTCCTGGCTTTGTGCCCAACAATTAGCACCTCATGCGGGTTACAATGTGTTGTAATTCCATGTGGGAGCCTAAAACATTGCAAGTTGTCACCAAAGAGTGGTTAAGAATGAGAAAAGTCAGTTCCTGTAGAGCAATCAAACTCACCTGAACTGAGCTTTCTAGTTGAGATGGCCAGTAGTACATGGACACTCTTCCTTTCCTGTGGAGTACCATGCTCACACCATCTTAGGAAGAGTGTGGGCCACCTCCATTTCTCCCTGAGCTGCTCGTGTGGGGAGTGGAGCTGATGGAATTTGGGGGCTGGTGTGGTCTGAGGTCTGATTACTGGGCCTCCTGTGTGACACACAAGACACAAATGCCTTTCTGTTCAAGCACAAAACAGCTCTGTCTCAGTCTCTTTCATGCTGCTATAACAATGCAGTGCCTGACACTGGATAGTTTATTAAGAGAAACTTCTTATCGTTATAGAGGCTGGGAAGTCTAAGGTTGAAGGACTGGCTTCTTTGTCTTAGTCACTTCCTCATCACGGAGACATAATACTAAACATTCACAGCTAAAAGGAGGGGACATTTATTTTGGCACATGCTCAGTTGGCTCGAAGGCAGAAAACGGTGTGGCAGAGGAGTATAACAAAAGAGGAGCCACTCGTATCATGGTGGGCAGGAAGTAGAGAGCAATGTGTGGAGTGGAAGAGGTAGACACATTGTTTTTAAGCCATATCTGCAATGACCTACTTCTCCAAACAGACCCCACTCCTGATAGCAAATCAGCTGGATGGTCCCTATGATTCAGTCACCTTCCAAAAGCCCTACCTATGAATGCATGAAAGCAGGGGGTCTTCTTGATTCAAGTCATAACATTTCACCCTTGATTCTCAAAAGACTCCTGCTCATTTGTTTTGTGCAAAATGCATTTAAGAGTTACCAAAGTTTTTTATTAACTAAGTTTATTGGTACAATATAGGTATACATAATGATTATGTTCGTTATAGGGAATTTGTACCTGCTGTTTTTTATTTTAAAGAGAATAAAACAATAAAACTAATTAAAACAAACCAGTGTAAGAGATACAGGACTTCAAAACATTACAAAATCAACTATAGTTACCAAAATGCCCTTTTGGTCTTGAAATAGCTACAGACAGTAAAAATCAAACAACAGAATAGAAACAATAAAAAGAAAACAATGAATGCAACAAAGGACTTTAAAAAAAGACAATAGCAAATCCAAAATAGCTACCATAATATATCTTGCTATTTTTGAAATAGCTGCTCCTACCATCAGATTTAACATAATCCAGTAAAACAAAAGAGAGTAAAACCCAACCCAATAAAACAGTGGAAATGATATAGAACCTCAAAACAAGATCACAGGGAATCAACAATAGCTGCAACCCTCAGAAGCAGATTCCATACTGTGCACCGCTATCCTCTGAACCCGTGATCAGACCACTGTCCCTGGACCTGTAATTTTAGTGAAACATCAAAGCACCGCAGGCATCCAATTGCATTTCATCTCCATAGCTATTACCACAGCCTGTGTTTCTCTGGATCAGCCCAGTCCCTTATGGGATGGGTGTGTGTGTGTGATATTTCTTGTATTGCCAGCCAGAGTGCCAGAAGGGGTTGTGGTCTGGCTTTTTTCAGTCTGGTGATGGCCCACACATGGTGCTGGTTCCCAGACTGGGTTTGTTTGCTGTTGTGACTTTGTTCTCTCTCCCACCAGTCTTCCAATGGTGCTGGCTCATGGGGCTGCTGAAGTTTTAACAGCACCAATACTGCTGAAAAGTCCAAATTCAAAGTCTACTCTGAGACTCAAAGCAAATCCTTAGCTGTGAGTCCCTCTAAAACTCAAAGGGAAAGTTAAACATTGCCAACATATGAGGGTACAAAGTAGACATCCCCATTCCAAAAGGGAGAAATAGGGGGATACAAAGAAATCAGACCAAAGCAAGACTGAAATCCAGCAAGGCAAACGTTAAATCCTGAAGCTCCAGTCCAGCACTTGGGCAAGATGCAGAGACGTGGGAATTCCAAGGGGCTTAGCCCCACCCTCATGGCAAGGGCAGAGCTTTGCCTAATGGTTAGGCTAGGCACATAGTCAAAGCTTAAAAAATATTTGATGACTGTATGGAAAAGCAGACCTGGCTGTATGACTGTGTTCACTTGTCTTTCTGGTCATGTGGTAGCAAGTCCTGTGGACCATGATGGTGACAGCTCTGAGGGATGATAAATTTGGGACAGGGAGATGAAAAGATGTTCTCAAATTTTAGCAAGCAAAGCATCAATTATGGAGCTTGTTTTTAAAAACTGCAATCTCTTCAGTGTCACTTCAGGGCTATGATTTGGCAGGGCTGGGATAGGATCTGGGGAGTCACATTCTTAGGAGGACTCTCAGGTTTTCCTTGGTGCCGGTGGTCACAGACCACCCTGTCATGGGTGTGCTCTGGTCCTGCACCCAGTATGGTAGCTCCTTGTTTCTGTGGCTCCACAGCTCCCCTAATCTGCTTCTTTGGAACAGTGATGCATTGTGAATGTAAAATGCAAAAATGGATTTTGAAGATAATACGGAGAAAAGTACAAAATAATATATTATTATATTGATTATACATTGAACTGGTAATTTTGTGAGTAACTGTTGAATAAAATGTATTATTAGAATTAATTTAATTGGTTTCTTTTATGCTTGTTTATTTTTAGGGCACGTGTGTGTGTGTGTGTGTGTGTGTGTGTGTGTGTGTGTGTGTGTGTGTTTCAGTGGTAGGAATAGAATCCAGGGCCTTGTGCATGTTTCATTGAGCTCCTCCCCAATCATGTTATTCTGAATATGGCAATTAGAAAAAGGTAAGTAATATGTGGAGTTCGCATATAGTTCTATTGGAGAGTGCTGACGTCTATGTTCCATGGAACTGGCAAGGCTTCAGGGCTGAAATTAAAGCTGGACTTTGTTCAGAGAACTTACCTTCTGGCATGACTCTTTGCAGGCAGTATGGACCCATGTGCCTGTGAACATTAGCACAAGCAACAGATTTAGGTTTTGCCTAAATCTGAAAAAGAGTTCTTTGAACCTTGTTACCACATGATCATGAGAGTGTTTCATTAAGTATTTCTGATCAAAGATATGGTGCATTATTAAAATATCACTTTTATGGCCACCCTAGAGGCTAGAGTTATCTGGAGAGAGAAACAGCTTGTGGAGCTTCTGTATAAATGAAATTACTAGAAAGAAATGCATTCAATTGCATATTGGCTCAGGGGGGTTATTCTTATTAAAATGTTAAGAAAGGAGTTTCTGTTCATTTCTGCAGGATTGCTCTCCAAATTAAAAATTTGGCTTGGCACACCAATAGTCCGGAGTCCCAAGAGAAGACTAGCTGCCTTTTTCCTTGTCATTTTTTGTAAGCCCTTTGTGGCTGTGCTGATAGATGGCATACATTGCCCACATGGAGTGTATCTGTTACTGTTGACAACACCCTGGAAATGGGTGCACTCTGCCTTGAACTAAAAGAAGTCAAAACAGGTTTCCAAAGACTGGTGATCCACCTAAAACAACAACTACTCTGCCTCTCTTTAGGTAATTTTTGGAAACTAAATATAATGAAAATTGGTCTAAATAGCTGAAGAAAGTAACTGTAAAAATGGGTTTGCTGTTAATAGGCTGAAACCTGCTACATAAATAAGGTGAAGCATCAGCCTTGGAGGATTTAAACTAATAAACAGAAATTCATCCAGTCAAGAAGAGGGCAAAAGAATGAACATTTGGGGCACAAATACTTAATTTGGTGCATATGCATTTGGATACTCAATGTCAGCACCTTGGCATATAATATGGCTACGGTGACTATCTAAAAATGTTTACTCTTACATGGAGCCAGGAGACCAGCCCCACCAATCCCATAATCTTCCTCTCCTTGCTTCTCCAAAAATTCTTATGTTGAAATATCCCCACCCCATGGTGGTGTTTAGGAAGTGGTACCTTTTGAGACATAATTAGGTCATGAAGGCAAGTTGTCACACATGCACTAGTGCCTTAAAAAACATACCTGAGGGAGCACTTCTGCCCCTTCCACCTTGAGAAGACACAGCGAGAAGACACCATCTATGCACAGGACCTCACCAAACACCAAGCCTTCCAGGGCCTTATCTTAGGCTTCTAGGCTCCAGCATTGTGGAAAATAAATTTCTGTTTATTAGCCGTGTAGTCTATGATGTTTTATTGCAGCAATCCAGATGGACTAAAATACTCTCCAATCATATTTAAACTTTCAGCCCTTTGGCCAATGACATATTAAAACAGTGCTCACGGTCATGATTGACACCTCAAGGCTCAATGGTTTTTATAATTTTCCGGTCAGAAAAAAGCTGGCAAGGGGAGGGCTTGGAGGAAATGGTGTGTGTGTACTTGTGTGTGGTGCCTATTGAGAGGAGAGCCATGGTAGCACTTTGGCTTTAGTTGACACATGCTCTCCATCTCCCTTTCAATCAGCTGGGTTAATGGGGACCATGGGAAGCATTGCTAATGTCTGACCCTCACCTTTAGTTTCAAAGCTGCTACTCTCATGAGTTTTCTGCCTTCATTCCGCCTATGTGGTGGGGTTGTCATTGAGAAATTAAGGAGAAGAGTTCAGGGAGAGAAAGAAACTAGGTCACTAGGAAGTTGAAAATTGCTTGTATTACTTTTCTAGAATGTTCTACTTCACCTCAGTAGGAGATTCCCAGATGGTATGTTATGAAATAAGGCAAATAAAGCACTGAACACAGATCCTGGCCTTGATGAAATGCTAAGAAAAAATGGCATGATTTATGGCTTTTATTATTCTTTTTTTA